CTTGCATGGGTGCATTGAGACAGCAGCACTTCATGGCCTTAGGCTTGCTTTCAGCTGGTAGGTAGCTCATTATGCTAGCTCCTCCTGCAGCTATAGTGATATTTGGGGGTGGGGGTGGTTTTTATTTTCAATGTGGGAACCCAACCAAACTGCCATCACTACAGCACAACTTGCTGGGAACTGAAGTGCCTGTTTGTGGGCGAGCCATTCACTTCTGACAGTGCAGCGTAGAAATAGTCTCTGCAGCTGTTTAGAAAGAAAATAATGCATTGTGCCCCAAGGGCCTGTGCCACAGAGGTGCTTGATACACTCATGCTTCTAAGTGGCAATTTAGACCAGCACAGAGTAAGAGCAAGCTAGCCAAAACAAGTGACACACCAGCTACATTACATGCAATTTCTTAACACACTAAGAAAACTCAGTGACAAGATCCAAGTTTGGTTAAATCTAGTGCCAAGAAGTTTCTCAGCAAGAAGTATAGTTTTAATTATGGAAAAAGCAATTAAAGGTGGAAGAGAATATGGCTGTAACAGCCTGTTTCTGGACTGCAGAATAAATTTAGAGCTTCCACACTGCCAAGGCTGCACTGGAGACACAGCCTTCCTCTTTGTTCCCCAACCCTCATCTACTGCTCCCAAACTCCACTGAAAAACAATGCAGTATCTTATAAAGAAGTTCAGGTCCCTTAGGGAGATCTTGGACCAGGATATACAACATGCCACCAACTCCTTGCTCTAAGGAGAAAAGCAGACTGCACTTGGAGGCTCCCTGATCCAGAGGGGCTGGCCTTGCATCCATGCACCACTTCAACCCAGCGTGAAAAAGGCAAGGCTGTGGCCAGAGCAGAAACCCTCCTCTGCAAGGAGGGGGAACGTTTCCTCAGCCAGATTTTGCAGCTAGTCATCGCAACTGAAAATGCTTGCTTGTTCTGCTCTTGACCAAGATATAAGTCACTTAAAAACACCAGAAAGCAGCTTATTTAAACAAGCTTTTGGTTTTAAGCGAGCTTCTTTACAAAGATACCTTGCAAGATCTCTTTTGCTCCACAGTGAGGCAGAGGCCTGAGAGCTTGCCCTTCAGCTGCTCCCTGTCAAAGCAATGTGGTTTCATTTCTTCCCCATTTAAACAAGAGCTCATATTTGACACTAAAGCTCACATCCATCAAAAAGGTAACAGGTACCTAAAGGAAGGTGTTAATAGCAGTAAGGTGTATTAAGTGAAAAATGACAGTCTTACAAATGCACATCAGAAACCGAGAAAAGCTAGTCACCCTTGTAAAACTGTTTTAGCCTAGGTAATTCAAACACACATTTTGGACACTGCCCTTTCAGATACATGCTGTTCCAAAAGGAAAGGTAAAAAGTAGATGCAGGCCTTGAAATGGAGCCTGCAACCTCCAACACCATGAAGCCATGGTGTTGGAGCCATTATGAAGCCATTTTTCCAGTTTTACTGTGGACTTGCATTTCCACCGCTAAGGTGACACAGTGCACGAGTGAATACGCTCCCCTGTAGCTCAGCAGGTCTAAGGCACTTTAGCTGGGTAGGTCTGAACACTTCCTGAGAACAGAATTAAAATTTTACAGGCAATTAAAGAATAGTTTTGTTCATCATTTTGTGTGTGTATGTAAAATATATACAGGCATATATACACACATACACTTTATATATACATACATATAAATACACATACATATGCACACACACACACATATATATAGCAACCACTCTCATTCCTCTCTCACTGAACTTTAAAGTGAACTGTAATCAAGAACAACATGTTTCAGAGAGGCTGAAATAAAAGTAAGGCTGCCATAAATCATCTCTTGAGCTCCCTCTCCTCCTGGGTCAAGAATCAACTATACTTCAGTCATTCCTGACAGGCATTTGCCTAACCTGTCCTTACAGCACCTCCGGTGATGGAGGCCCCACAAACTTTCTATTTTTTCTTCACTGTTTTTACATTAAAAGAGGTTTCTGAGGTCTTAGCCTAATATCCACTGTTAATTATTAAGTAAGTCCTTCCCTTGTTTTATTCTGCATAGACAAGAAGAAGGAAGTGTTGCTTTCTCTTTGCAAAACCTGTAAGTAATTGAGGACAAATACCAGCTTTCCCTCCTTTCCCCACATCCCTTCTCCAGCTAAGTAATAATTTGTTTTATGAAAAATGAATTGTTCAGCTTTTCATCCTTATTTGGAGAGGAACCTGTCAGACCTTTGGATTTTACTTAAGGCAGAAATATCACTTCCAGCCAGCTCTAGTGAAAGTCTTTCCATGTGCTCCTTAACTTCAGGAGTGAAAATGTAGCACAACTCAATACTCATCTTGCACTGCTCAGCTGACTTGATCTGTCTCATACCATAAGGCCAAGGGAGCGTATGCATCATCCCTGTAGTGTTTGATAGGCTCTCTCTGAAGCTCATGACAACTGAGCAGAGTGAATCAGTGATGTGGTTCACTGGTCAATTAATGGAGGAGATGACATCCTTAGAATAAAAAAGATTCATCTTTTGCACGCTCCTCTTCCCTTTATATTACAAACTTCTAATACTCCAGCCTTCATTTATTTCCTTTCTGGACTAGTTAAGCTGGTTAGCCTTAACATCTTCAGTGTGAAAAGTGGTATTTTTTGCTTCAGAGGCAAAGTCCCTGCAAAGTTGATAAGATTTGTGCAGAAGAGGCAGACTGACATTTAGTTTTGCAGTGTTCACTGCAGGGGGCTCAGTGTCAATCTCAATAAGTGCACTTTTCAAACAGTAAAGTACCAGGCTTAAATTCTGCTGAGGCAAAGTATGAACTATGGGTCTTCTCAGTTACTGATTATTTGATAATGCACTCCAGGCATCGTAGCTTGCTGAACGCATAGCAGTTGTGCACAAGCAACATCCTCAGCTTCCTTTGAACCCAGTGAAAAAGTAAGGGTGCTTAGCGTCTCAAGACTGGGCTTTCTGACAGGCGTAATTGTTTACAATATTAGGATTACAATAAATAGCAACCAGAACTAATTCAGGGGAAGGAAATAAGTACTTAAAACAAACAAACAAGAAGTATACCAGAAACAGACGTGTACAAGAAAAGAAATTGGTCTACAGTTTACTATAAAGTAAAAGAAATAAATGGAGAAGAACAAAAGCTCTAGAAAAGCTACATGATTTGCTTGAAAGGGTTATTGTACAAATATGCCTGCTATCTCTTCTTGTTTCAGGCAATCATAGTGCTTTATATACCGTCAGACTTTCAACAACTTGCGCCTTGATCCAGAACAACATAAAAGTGGCTGCTGATACACACAGAAAACTGGATGAGGTCGGCAATGGGGTTGATGTGGCAATTCCTGTCTCTTGCAGAAACAGTAAAGCAAAACAAAAAGCCTCACACAGCACCTCCGTCCCAACTAATCACCTCCTCCTGCAACCACATGCACAACTAGAATGGACCATGAGTTGAAATCTGGGAAATTTTAACATTAAGCACGAACAGCTGAAACTTTTGCAAAAAAGTGTCATACTGATATTCCTTTCAGAAAGCATCTTTTAAACAGAGAAATATATAATATGCAACAAGTAACATAAAGCTCACCCTGAATTTTCCCCGATTTTAGTTATGTTAAGGGTTTTCTTTGCAAGACTTTTTGTCTCCTCCTCTTCCCACTCACATCCTGCCTCCTGTTTCCCTTGCCTCAGAAGAGCAATCCAACACATCTTGAGGTAATTCAGCATGCAACCAGGAGACAAGTAGTTCTGAAAGGGTTCAGCTGCCTTGCTTTAAACTCATATTTACAATAAATATGTACAGATTTAAAAAAAACACAACAGCTATTCCTTAATTAATAGCTAATCACATACCTCAGGCAGGGTAGTTAAGTGAGATGAAGAACATTATGTTACAGCACAGAACTCTCGGACTTTGCTCCAAGCACTAAAGTGAATCCATCAACCACAGGAAAACAGGCCAGTCCACGAACTTACAGAACAGCCTCAGTCATTGACTTGTCTCCCCTCCCCTTCCCCAAAAAATCTGAGAGCACGTGTGGACACAGTACAAAAACATGCAGGAGCTACAGAGCTGGATGTGTATAATTAAAGATATCTGGCTGTTCAAGTGACAATCATATTCCAAATATTGATATCCTTCACACACTCCATCTGGGCTCAACAAAAGGTGAGCAATGGACACCTCCTAAACTTTTCTGCTTAACTTTATCACGCCCTTGGAAGAGTCTCACCCTCCCTTTTACCTTCAATGACACACAGCTGAGACCAGCAAACAGGCTCCATGTCTGTAACTATCCCTCTCATAGCTGCATCAGCGAAAACATTTATCCTTCTCTCCACATAGGGAAGGAGGAATATGTTAACTTCCAAGTAACTCTCCCCATCCTTAGTGCTTCTTTCACCTATCAAGCTTTGGGAACTTCCCTTTCTTACCTGGAGTAGTCTTCTGGAAGAGCATGGGGGCCTGAATTGCTGGGCCATATCATTTTCAGGGGCCTGTTACCACCACCCCTCAGCAAGCACACCAGGGCACCGTATAACTCCAATGCACAGGAACAACCTGCTGGTGGAAAGGAGACTGCAGCATTTGAAATGGCAAGAGTTAGGACCATGCACAAGTCTACAGGGCAAGAGCTAGGAGACACACCATCAGTAAGAGATGAAAGAGGTGTTATTGCTGAAGTAGATCTTCTGCAGGCCTTGCCTCAGCCTGGGACTGGTGGGCTAGTGCTGACTGCCTCATTAGCAGCAGCTGAGGAAAAGGGAACAGCAGATGCTGCTTGTATGGCAAACACGGTAATTATTTGCCGAATAACCAAATGACATTCTTTCTCCTCCAAATCAAACCTTGCCTCTGCTGGAAAAACATACAAGGGGGGTTTCACAGGCCCTTATCTGAGCATCCTAGTTACACTAGGACCAGCTGCCCAACTTTATACATTAGGTCATGTGGAAGCATAAGTCCACGGCACCACTGAATAAATCAGTAGATAAAACACTGTGTATTTTTGCTTTCTGGACATCTCAGAGAGGTCCCAGGAGCATTTTCTGCTCTGGCAAGTAGAAAATGTTGAACAAGGTAAATAAAAGCTTACCCTTCAACTGGAAAAATTCCTCAATTTGAATCTTCTCTCATGCAAGTCAAGAGATTAGCAGCACAACAGTTGTACACCAGATTCTTTGCAGGTGGGTCAGGATATGCATTTAAGGCCAAGTCCTAGACAGAGAAGGAAAGCAGAAGGAGAGTCTGGCTAGCATCAGCTGGTGAGGATGGCTGGAGGTGACTGCAGTTGCCTAGCAATCTGGTCTATCAAAGAGAGGAATAAACATAGTCCTCGACTCACATACTTTTCATAGCACTTAGAGGGCTGAAAACCTGGGCCTGTGCTGAATGCAGTGCAGACTTCATGAAAATAACAGAGAAACAGTGCAGGTATAGCATGTTTCTAGATACCAGTAGGGCCCTTCAAGCTTCAAGAGACAGTGATGTCTGTGCTGACTACGAGTGAAGACTCTGCTCCTCTGTGTCATAGTTCATTAAAAGCTGAAGTCTGAGGAACTTGACTCTCATACTTGTTCTAGCTAACAATTCTATAAAACACAGTATTTTGATATTTTCAGTGGACTGCAAATACCAAACGTTATCCTCTTATCCGCAAGAATATCAATACTGCATAAATAAAATCTCATTTTATTCTGTCCAGTGAAAAATATGCTACTTCTTAAATATAAAATGTCATACAAATACCACAAAGGCACAATCTGGGCAAGTTCAGGCGTTTAGGAACCCCGGCCTAAAGCAGCTGATTTACTGTGAAGGTTGTGCTGGATTTCTCCTTGCACTTCAGTCATTATTCAGAAAGCGAGGAGAAAGCCTCTTTCAGAGCTCACATCTTATTCCTGTTGGCTCTGGGAAGTTGCCCAAGGCAGACACCTGAACTCAAGTCAGAGTCATGGGGGCTGTAAAACTCTTCCCCTTGATAGGTGTAGTCTTCTTGTCTTTTGTGGTAGTACTGGAAAAGAAATACTTTTTTGTCTGTGTGGCAGTGAAGCGGAAGGAGAGGCCTACGTAGTCGTTTTAAATGAGCAGTCAACATCCTTTGGCTGAAAGCTCCTCAGAGGGGACAGAAGTTTACACTTCAGGACCTGCAGTTCACGGGCATGTACCAAGACCTTCCTCAGCCATTACAAGGAACTATTAAGCAGAGACATACTTTATATACATACATACACACACATATACATATATATATATATGTTTAATTATCTTATTAAGGCAGCAAGAATAAAGCAGAGTGAATTCCAAACATAAAATACTACCCTTCTTCCCTTTCCATATGGATTATATTAGCCCTTCTAGTGTTTTCTTCTCCCTCTTGGGAGCCTTTTCAAAGCGCTCTCAGCTCTGCAACACCTGGGATTTAATGGCTGGCGTTGCTGACGCGGTAATGAAACAGGAAGGTGTGCTTGCCACCTTCTGTCTTTACATTAGGAGCAGAGAAAACAGTCCTTGTCCTAGGCACAAAGTGCGAACTGCCTGGGGTGGGGTGGGAAACGGAGCGCCGCGTCTCAGGAGCGCCCTGACGGCCCGCAGGGAGGAAAGGGAAGTTGTGGACATAAGCGCTATTAAATGCTCGTTGCCTTATGTTATCTGGCACGCAAACCTGCTGAAGTGGCGTTTCAGGACACCGAGAAGGAAACGTTTTTGTTTACAACAGTTTTGGCCAGCAAAAGGACTGGATTATAGCTTACACGGTAACTGCGGTTGTTAGCAATCAAAATGATTTGACAAAAGAAAGTAAGAAACACTAGGATTTTCACAGGATGGTTCTAAAGGTGCAAAGCTAAAAATCTTGTATTAAAAACAATAAAGAGTGAGGGAAGTACATTTTCTCCACTCTTAATGGAATATTATTAACAGCCCTAGCACTTTCTAAAGTGGCCTATGGACCTTTTCCAGGCACCATTCTGCCCTTTTCCCATTTTGTCTTGTTTACCGAGCATTTTTTAAAACCTGAAGGCATAGCTATTAAAACAGTACTTACAAAAATGTGCTCTCATAAAAACCTTTGAGGGCTCTTCTCAGACAGCAGGGTTACCACCTCTCCTGCAGGACTAAAAACCAGAATAAATTCCTAATATTTTACCTCTATTTTTATATGATTCTTTTGGTAAACAGAGCAGTGTAATTCATAGGCTTGTAACTTGTGGTTTAGTTGTCACAGGGGCATTTGCCACAGGTTTAAAATAATCTTGAGACAGCGGAGGGGTTTTTTTCACCCAGTGTTTCAGTTTTTGTCAGAGCACTTTTTGCCTCTCCTCCTCTGAGTCACCAGTTTGTGCATAGCAGCATGGGAGCCACTGCAGCATTTTATGTAAGTGCTAATTTGTGCTCCTCTACAGAGACAAATCTGCACAGCTGTTTGTGATGTATTTTTTTCAATTGCTTTTCAGTTCTGGCCTCCTGCAACTAATCTTTGATGTTACTATGAGTTTGCTGCTTCTGTGACTACACAACAGACTCCGTTTGACATTGCTGCTGAGGGAAATGTATCTGCAGGGCAATTCCTCTTGAATTAATGCCAGTCCTGCAGGAGTGACTTTGGCCCATTATCTTCAGGCCATCGTCCCTGAGCTTTTGTTCGCCCAAGAGCACTCCTTTTCAACACCACAAGCCCAAATGGTTTCCCCTGACAGTGTGGATTTCCCTCAGCATAATGATTTAAATTAAGTGTCTCTGTCCTTCAATAAATTGGGGACGTGTGTGACTGCCTCCCAAACTGGCAAGCAGTACAAAAGTGAAAAATGAAAGAACGTGGACAAGAGTCCCTGGATATTTTCCACCATCCGGTCCTTAATGCTTGCCACTAGCGCCTTGCTTCCCACGCTGGCTGCCAAGCGGAGTCCAGGGGTTAAGGGGACAGCTGGGTCGGTGAGGGCTGTGCTGCAGCTCAGCTCTGTTAAACAAAATATTCCTCTGCTGTAAAGAGGCACTGAAATAGTTGTGCCACCAGCATCTGCTTCCTCTTTAACATCTATTTCACTCCTACAGTTGACAGATGGACCAGTGATGGGGAGACGAGCGCTGAGAGCCTCAGGCTAATTTTGCTAATTTGGAAACAAAACTGAGAAATACATGTATTTTTATCCCTCACTATCCTCATGCAATTTTTACTCCTTTCATTCAGCAAAGGCCAGAGCCATAGATCAGATCTGAATTTACTTTCACACGAAGTGGAGTAGAAGATGGAGGTGTCAGAGTTCGGCTGAACTAAACCATTTCACCCACGTTCATCTTTTTGCAGGCCTGCTCAATATTTCAAACATAATTAACAAAGTTATTTTCAACGCAGAGACTACTAATGAAGTCAAAAGAGCTATTTTTTATTTTCCTGCCTGGACTAAACAGCTGGATTTCCCACCCTCCTCTGAAACAGTCTTCAAGTAGTTTACAGTTCGGATAGCCCCTTGGTTTTATTGCAGGTCAAGCAACACAGTAATTTGGCCGACCTGCTGCTGCCCGGTCTCGGGCTCTTGCGCATCTCCAATTCCCAAACCTGCGAGAGAGCCCTTCCTGCCTTGCATCCTGCCTGAAATCAGTCGGCTCCTGCGCTTGTGTGAGTCAGCAGTGGTTACACTGCAACTTTATGAAAGACAGTGGTGCTGCAGCTGAGGGTGATTCAGCAAAACCTGCATTAGCGATATCACCCTGGAAGGGGACCACCTGAATCATCAGGTCCAGGCTCTACAACCACAGGCAAACACGTAACGGATGCTTATGCTAAAGGGTTTTTGTAGTAGCCTGAAACATCCTATTATATATACTCACAGACTGCGGATTACAGCACTGTGGAAGGGCAGGGATGGTGCCTAAACACTATGAGTAATTTCACATTTGTCTGTCCTTTCAAATATTCTTCTCTTGATTCTCAGAAACACAGCACTCTGGTTAGAAATCAGTTTATTCTGATGAGTCAGGGCTCATAGTATTATCCTGGCACGATTGAGGCATGAGCAATTAAGCCTTATCCCCCAGTTGTTCTGCCTCTTTAATCACTGCCAGTTCTCCTGTGTTCCTGGCTTATTACCGCTTTGAAGGAGGTGGAGGCAGATGGCCAGTCAGGTATCGCAGTGACATGCCGTACTGATGTCAGTCGAACTGCAGTAGTAAAATCTACTGTCGTCTGAACAAAATAGATGGGAGTTATATAATGAATCCACCATGGGGTTGTGTTGCAGCATCCATTAAAACAAGAGCTAAACAGAACTGGATACCAATATTATAAAGGGAACCGGCAGTTAATTGTGTGATTGACTCAGTGAATGTTTGTTATAAATTACAATAATTAGCAACTTAAAGTAAAAGCAAAGCATTTCTTCCAGAATTTAACTATTTCTTATTTCTTTTTAAAACTGTATGGATGGGGATAGGTATTTATGAGACAGAGTATGAAACCTCACTGAACTGAGACACACAAGAGTGGAGCATGCTGCAGTACCTGTAGTCTGCAATCTGCCTTTGCAGCCTTGCAAGCAAACTGCCCCCTTTCTTTTAATATATTTCCCCCTCTGGTCTACCCTTCCAGACAGCGACTACCAATTAGGCAAAATTTTGTACCGGACAAATCAAGGGGTCAGGATGAGACCAAGAACTTCATTTTGGTTTGTGGCTAGTTTAAGGAATGAAATGTTTGACATATTTTGCTTATCAAGTATTTTATAGCAATGACATGCTGTCCTCTCAGTGCTTTATAAGGCCAACTGGATGATCTTTCCTTATCTCCTAAATATATTTTGTGTAATACCCTGAACAGCATTTGCAGTAGCTAATAAAATAAAGAAGTATTTTTTAATGTATGTTCTAATTTTACAAAATCCTAATTCATTATCTGTTAACTTAGTATAAAGATGTTACATTCTGCAAATAATTTATTTAAGGCTGAAAATATTTTGGAAGCATTTCAGGACTAAAGTGTTGAATCTATAATATAAACAGAACAGACCATTGAATGCCAAACATGGAGAGATGAGGCCCAAATGACTGCTGGACTACGCAGAGCAAGTCACGTATAACAGCCGACATGACAGCTCCTAAATCTGTAGCTTGGTCTTGATCATGAAACAACTTTTTTTCTGAGTTCAAAACTGAGCCTGCTTGTCTTCTTTCTGAGGGGAAATTAGGCATTTCAATTATCAGCGGCATAAAATTCACATGGTTAGAGGGAACCGTTAAGACAGCCAATATGAAAGTGTGGGTCAAGCCTTGCTCCTCTTAGTAGTTTATGTTGCAATTTACTTAATTGTACTTTAAAACTGCACTTTATTCAGCACTGCCAAGCACCACTCTCCCTTTGGATTTTCCCTTTCAATACCTTGAAAGTCAGAATTAAAACCTGTTACTATCTCCTCTCAAGATTCCCATTTCTATTAAATGGAAGAATCAGAAAGGGGGATAGAAAGACAAACAGCTGAGAGAAAGAATAAGATTAAATGGATTTTGGTAGCATAAATGTGGCTGCCATACCTCTGCTATTTCCTCCCTCTTTCTGCCTTCAGAGTTGAACTGCTTATGGTGAATATATCATGTGGTCTTTCTCTAAGTATACAGTGTTATTGATTTTTTTTCCAGCACGTTGCCTCAACTGATGATCTAGCCAGCCATAACATTTATAAGATTCTGATAAAACTACAGGTATCACATGTTGCAGGAAGCATCCGTGGTGCATGAACCTAAGCAAAGTCATGATCTCCAGTTCACTGTTAGCCCTTCACTGTGACCGCACAGAACTGCCAATAACTCAGATGACAAATTTGCCAGGCTGAGTGCACAGTGCAGCAGCTCTTGCAGCCACTGGCATCTAGGGACACCATTTTTGCACCAGATTATTGCTAGCTACCTCAACCGTGGTGGAGGAGATCCAGTTTGATTCCCTCTTATGCCTGAGAAGATCAAAAATAATTTATTCTAGGAGAACACTAATGCTCTGCCATGTTTTGAGAGGAAGCACTTGGAAAACTTTTTGTGCACTGTGGACATAAACCTCCACTGCATATAATCCAAATATGGGTATATCTTACTGGCCTAATGTTTAGAGCACTCTCCTGGCTTGTCTTGTCTTAAGAACATCTACCCATTTCTGCATTAAATAGCCATTGGATAAAAGGCACGAGCAATTCCTGCAGCAGTCCAGGGAGGTAATGCATCCCTCCGCCTACCTGGGACAGGACTGAGTTGGACGTAGGCGCTCAGCTGCAGGGCTTTCTCACAGTTGTACTCGCGGGGCACGCACAAGCCCATAACTTTAGGCAACTGGGAAACATCAGCAACAGGAACTGAAGCTGCTATGCACTGTACATACCTGCAAACTTGAGCAGCAGCTAGATGGAGTTTGAAGCAGAAGGATTTAGGTGCCAAAATTCCTTTCTGGATCTGGTCCTCGGTGATCAGATTTTTAAGTGCAATGAAGCTCCCACTGGATTTCTACAAGGGATCTGTCATGTGGCCTCTGGTCCTCCCTTCACTTTCCAAAGAAAGGTGGAGTCATAATAAGATTACCATATGCCCACGATAATACTTGAAGTAGCAGCTAAAGAGACAAGGAGGATTCCTGGGTAACTTGTATGTGCTCAGAAGAAATTGGTTTTCTTCGACAAAATGGCAGAATCTCTCCCTGAAATGTATACAGTGTTTGCAAGTTCCAGAAAAAGCACAGCTAATTTCTTTACACTGTTTTACAGAGTTCTTAAACAGTTCTTGAATGTGAAAATTTATGTTCTCTTTCCAGATATGAATAGTTTTATTGGGCATATAACACTAGCTAGAAATAAAACTACACTGGAACATTTGTTTGAATTCTGTTTATAAATACCTTGTTAGAAACGTAGTCAAGGTGCCACAAAAATATTTTCTCTAATGAGAAATAAAGCTATTCATGTGTTATTCTGATTTTGGTAGTGCTGATGTAGCAATGTGTGTATTCATGAATTCACTTTACCGGACATTACCATAAGGACTCAGCTGTCATGTTTCCACGGAGATCCTTCAATAGCCCTACAGTTCATTATTAAAGAGTGCTTCAGCATCATTTTCAATGAACAGTATTTTCTTTTTAATTTAAAAATGGGGTATCACTTGAAAGGGATGTACCCTTATCCAAGTTGTGGGTTAATCAGGGCCTGTCTTCACCTGATGCATCTATTACAGTGCTCCTAACAGAAAGTGTTTTATGATCACCCCAAATACAGGTTGGCCTACTTTTATTTAAAGCTCTTCTTCTTCTCTTTAGAGAGCTGATAACAAAGGTTAACAAACTCAGTATGTTTTTTTAGCTTAATTTACATATATTTTATATTATCAAGCTTTTGCTTTATCTGGATTATCCTGCCTCATCCTTACCTTGGATAATTGAGCAGTGAGTGTGAAAAAAAATCAGGTAATGAAGAAAAAAGATATCTCAGGCTATGGACTGTACTCCAGCCAGCTTCCCAGGGAGGCTGAAGGGAGATACATGCAGACTAAGTCATCTTTGTTGCTCCTGGATCTGGCCTCAGCGTAAAGCTCAGGGAGCCGCAGAGCTCCTCTCATTAATGGCAGGATTGAGCAGCCAAGTGGGCTGTTCAGAAGGTACTGAACAGTTTGTGCACAGAGGACTTTGCCATATTTCTGACCATCCAGCTTGTCTGCCAGACCTTTCCTGAGGTACAGCCTGATAGCTGGGGCTGCATGGGAAAGTGCAAAGGGCAGGGCTATAGGCACCATGGCTATATTGGGCTGCCCAGAAAATTCACAAGCGGAGGAACGTCCACCTCTTCCCAAAATATAGCTGGTCAGCTTGTGGGTTTAAAAGCACAGAGCTGAAGAGCATGAGAAAGAACCACAATTCTCACTTATGCAGGCTCAGAGCACAGATATGTTTCTAGCATTAAACTTTCTGAAAACAGAAGTGCATGAGGCCTTGCAGTCTGCCATTTACCCTGAGTGCTAGGGATCTAGGAGTGATATCTAATCTCTCAGCACCGCTTAAAAAAAAAAAAAAAGCAATTCTCAGAGCTCAGATGGAAGATGGAAAGGCATTTCTCGCTATCCCCAGGCCACCAGCTGTATTAAAAACACCCTGTCCTCTACTTGATTTCCACAATAAGAAAGTTCCTTTTATCCATGTCAGAGCTCAACCCCAAGCTTGCATTTCTACTGTTAAAAGGTACTCTTTTATGCTCCATACACCTTGATTTTAACCTGCAAACCACAGATAGGAGCCTCTGCAGGATCCTCTTAAAAAAAAGAAAGGCTAATGCTATGCACAGAGCACCAAGTTATCCACATTCCCTGGGACAATGTTGCTCCAAAGACTAGTAACAGAGGACAGAGCCAGCACTAATTGCGCTAGACTGCAGCCTTTCTCCACAGTGGCAAATAGTTGCACCTAAGCCACCCTACATACTCATCTCGCCAACACGAGTTAGGATTGCAAAAACTGACACGTCAGTTAAGAGGACTTGATCTGGGAATAGGTTATCAGTAAAGGCCAAAGCCCAAAAGCTTGCCAAAACTTTGTTATAAGAGATGGCAACACATATAAGGTGTTAGCCAGTTTCCTTGGACAGCATAATTCATTTTGAAATCCATTGAGCCCTGGTTCTCTCTTATGCGCTCATCCCCTTCTGAAAAATTTCCCTATGTATTCGTACACTCAGTACACACAAATCCCTCTCCCCTCCTCTGAACCCCAATACTATGACCATAATTATTCACAGCTTCCACTGGATCCCACCAGTTGGTCTTGCTTAGTGGGCACAGAGGCAGCGGATGGCTCCACTCACTGTTTTCTCCCTCTTGCCAGGTAAGTCAAACCAAACTTGCCACCTCCTGTTGGCATGACAGTCTGTGCACAGAGGGCCATGATCCGTGACCACAGATTCTGCAGGGAGGATCTCTATATCCTTAATTCCTTCACAGCCTTCAGCTCTCTACATTTTTTCAGACCTGACTGATACGGGGCAGAAGTTACTGGGAGAGTGTGTTTGTAGACGGCTGGGATGATGGTTGCCAGGGTCACCCAGCATAACCATACAGTCTCATTTCCTTGGGAAACCAGACGCACTTTTTTGTTTTTAATAAGGGATTGAATTGACGTAAGGCCCAAATGCTACTCCATAATAAACATTCTCTCTAGAGAAAATCAAGAAAAGGCCAGTGAGACAGCAACGCTCAGTGTAATTCTTTCTGTATTACTCTGTTCTAGCCCCATCATTTCCTGAGAAACATCTCTCTGGGTAGTTCTCTGAAGAATTCACTGTTCCATCCACTGACTTGAATTTATCCCATATAAAGCAGATATATTTAGAAAAAAGTTACAGTCAAAATCACATGATGCCATCATTGATTTATGCACAGACTGATAACAAATAAGCAACAAAGTTAAAAAGTAATGAGAAGTCTAGCAGATGGGCAAAGCACCAAAATAAACATTCAGATAAAAAAACAGATTCAGCAAATCACCAAACCCAACCTGTTCTTGGGGAACTGGGGTTTTATTTGGGTTAACTAAGTAAATTTGCTAAGACTCTTGTTAAACTATTATAATACTAATGTCCAGAACATGACCAAGGACAAATCAGCATAAGTATAATGAAGAAAGGACAGTCAATATCAGACAGAAAATGCAGATGTTGTAACTCAATCACAGACACTTTGCCCCATCACATGAATTAGAAAATTGTTCTGAACAAGCTGCCCTTTCCCACAGTCTGTGTCACTAAAACTAGATACAGTAATTACATTTGTGTACCCAGAGCCCTCAGCAGCTATTTTTTATATTGTGCCTAGATGTTTTATATGAAATCGCTTTCAGTTCAGGAAACTAGGCTGGAACTCGGAAAAAAGTGCAGTAAAGGCAAGTGTGTCAAATGCTCTGCCATCTTAATATGACATGGTAGCCTGGCAAAGTAACTTCTCATTAGCGATGTTTTTGGTCAACTTGGTTCCTGTTTTCCACTGCAAAATAGGAAATGTCAGATAAATAATACTTTTGTTTTGGGGAATCTGGCCTCGTTATAACTGAGAAACCTAGCGGCAGTATCGCTTGTGGCTTGGGTGTGGATTCAGAAACTCAGCCGCTCCCTCACTTCCGTAGCGCGGCTTTGAACTTGCTCACAGACAAAGAAAGTGGGAAAACTGCTCTTTTGGTCAGCAAAGGACAGCCACAGGCTCGGCCATGTGATAATCAAAAATGATGTTAAGCGACTAACACTTCTGTATAATCCATTGCAAACTGCAAATGAAACAGAAGGACTTTTCATGGCATGGTTTTCTTGTACATACAGCCTGTGTACAGAACTAACATTTAATTATACATTTTTGGATTAAGAACATTGGAAAAATCGCCTCCAACTGTAATTAGAATCCATCAATGGCAGACATATTTCCAGAGATAGTCATCTGTTACGAGCAGAAAATGAGACTTACTTGGCCTGAGTCCAAGATCAAATTTTTAAAATAGTTCTAGAGAAATCATTTCTGGTACTGTGGTTTCACAATAGCCCTAAGTTAATCCAAATGCAAGATGCCAACAAAAAAGTTGCCCTGCCCTCCTCCTTTGCCCACTCACATATTTACTCCTTTTTCCTAGGCCCTCTTGTGCCTATGTGACCAGATGGTGAGCCAGAGCAGGATACTGATTTAGCTGCAAAATATATATATATTATTTGTTGCGTTAATTTTCAGCAGCATCATTTACTCGACCTGTTTTACTATGTGCCTATAGGAACGTGACTGCCAAAATAGGAGTGAGGACAAGAACAAGCTGCTGGAGGTTGGGTGACACCTCAGTTTCAGAAGGAACCTCCTCCTAGTTCAGATGAGGAATATCACAGACCAACCCTCTTTGTTACTTTCAAACCATGCATGAGTAAAACACTTTATATCACTGTTAATAAATAATTTGGTCTATATTGCAGCAGCACCTCATGAGGATGGGAGCCTAACGCGCAAAACACGAAACAGTGCAGGCAGGATGGGAGCCTAACGCGCAAAACACGAAACAGTGCAGGGTCCTGGCCCAAAGCCCTGACCCTGAAGCTGGGCACCTGCTCACGCAGAGTCCCTCCGCCGAGCGGGCGACAGGCTGGAAGGGCCTGTCTACAGCCAAAGCTGCTTCCAGCCTTAGAGTCAGGGTCTTAGCAATTTCCCAGCATTTGAACTCAGGATGAAGAGACATTTCTGGAAGAATTTTGCAGGCAACTCTTGTGAGTAGCTTCAATTAGAAACAAAAACCAAATGCTGTATGAATGGGGAAACTTCGTACACAGGCGACTGTATAGAGGTTTCCTCAAATATGTTTGTTGGATATGGATGTCTCCGAATATCAAAACAGTATTTTCTAAATTAAGGGGGATTTATATAAACGGAGCGTAGCTTCTAACATGCTGTTTATGGTCTGTCTGGTATAGATATTTATGACCATTCTAAATTTAGTGATTTTTCTAAAGTGCCCATTCATTTAATATAGCCCATGACAGTTTC